TAGCCAGTCATATTGCCATTTTATTTTGGATTTTCCTGATGATCTTTCTTGGAAGATGCATCTTCTGTCGCTCTAGCTATTCCAGGCTGGTCTGTTTGTCTTTTCTAGTGGGAATGTCTCACCTCAGAAATTTCTGGATGGGACTCAGGATTCCACCTAAGGTCCTATATACTGCAAAGGCTCCGCAAGAGGCGTATTTCACTGGGCAAGTTGTAGAACCCCTTTTAGGTATTTCCAATCAGTTATAGACTGAAGACGGGCTTACAAGGTTTCGGTAGTCATGTTTACCGACATTCCTTTCTATCCCACTCAAGTGTCTATTTTGCAATAGTAGGCAACGGAAACAAATATACATAAGACAGTCAAGCATCTTAGTATTATTTCCCCTCTTCAAACTATGCCGTTGAGCATGCATCACTATTTACCTCTATCCCATTTAGCTCATGCAAACCTGTCTCAGTGTTCCCCATCTACCTTGTTTTTCCACCCTCCCCCCTTCTTGTGTATTGCCCTCCCCATTGCCCGAATTACGATGTGTCTGCCCCCTACCCTGTGCTCTACCATCACCTCCCTCCACCTCTCCCAAGTCCTACCATGTTGTTGTTGTTATGTGCCATCGAGTCGGTTCCGACCCATAGCGACCCTGTATAGGGTTTCCGAGGGTGTAAATCTTTACGGGAGTAGAAAGCCTCATCTTTCTCCCGCGGAGCGGCTGGTAGTTTCGAACCGCTGACCTTAAGGTTCGCAGCCCGATTCGTAACCACTACGCTACCAGAGCTCCTTAGTCATGAACTTTTATTAGAGCGAAGATGGAGAACAGTTCTTTCTACATTGTTGAATGAAAGTTGGTTAACAGAACTTCTACTGTTCTTTGCTCATTAAAAAGCAAAACAAAAAACATATACTCAAGCTGTAATCAGAGTCAAACTTCAAAGTCCCCTTTAATCCATACCCTCTCCAGGGATAACTGCTGTTAGAAGTTTGGTATATATCCTTCTAGACTTTTTGCTATGCATTTTCCTATACATGTGTATTGCTTGAGTCTTCTGATGTGCTAAGCACCATGTAAAGACCTTGCTGTGCGTTTCTTGTTAACTCCTCACTACAACCTGTGAGACAATACCACTATTACCTCCATTTTGAAAATGAATAAACTAAGACTCAGAAACATTCAGCAATCTACCTAGGATCACATAGTGACTAATTAGTTTTTCCTCCTGAAAGGATTGTTGTACTAATGCAGATGAAGCAGGTTTAACGTTTTTGGTTCATTCATCTATTCATCCAGTTATTGTTGTGGTTTAGTGCCATAGAGTTGGTCCTGACTCATAGTGACCTTGTATAGTGTTTTTGAGAAGGGGTTAGTGAATTTGAACCACTTACCTTGTGGTTCAAACCGACCTGGTTGTTCAGTGCTTTTACTACAGTCCTATTCAATAAACACTATCTAGTCCTGGTTCATTAGGGAGTCCTGGTGTGGCAGTATAGGATAAGCACTAGATAGAAAGGTACATTTGAACTGCAAGATCGGCAGTTCAAACTCACCAGTCACTCTTTGGAAACCCTTTATAGGGTCACTATGAGATGGAATGGACTTAACCGTATTTAACAGCAGCAACAACAACAACAACAGCAACATTCCTTCAATAAGCATTGTGCTTGATGCTAGGTATTCAAACACATGATTTCTGTCCTTGGCTAAATAGAAAAGGCAGATCATTCTGTGAGTTAAATGATTTGCTCCAATCCTTACTGTTCGTAAATGTGTTGTTGTTATTGAGTCAGTTCCTACTCATAGGGACCCTGTATAGGGTTTCCAAGGAGTGACTGATTGGTTTCAGCTACTGAACTTGTGGTTAGCACTCCAGTGCTTATCCTACAGTGCCACACCAGGACTCCAGTAAATGTGTAGAGCTGAATTAAAATGCAGGTTTGTTTAAACAAACCGATGCATGACAGGCCTAGGGAAAGGAGCCCAGGTAGCATTGTGGGTTACAGATTGGGCTGCCAAGCATAAGGTCAGCAAGTCAAATGTATAGCCACTCTATGGGAGAAAGAAGAGACTTTCCGGTCCCATAAACACTTACAGCCTCAGAATCCCTATCCAGGGTCACTTTGAGTTGGAATCGACTCGACAAACACCTATAGAAAATTTGGTAGACTGTTTTCAGAAGCAACCACTGTAGATACTAAATACCATGAGCTGATGAGTTTGGAGCTCCCCCAAAATCAGTGCCCAATGGTCATTACACAATTTGTAATTTACAGAGCATAAATGCAAGTTCTGACAGGTTGTTTAAAATAATGTTAATACTAATAAAAAGACAGACACTATTGTACAAAGGGAGGTAAGGGCAAGCTAGAGTTCAGGATTAGAGTTTCAGTTTTCTTTGAGAGGAAGGATTGGTGGTAATGAACTTAGAGCCACTAAATACTGGGCATCCTGGTGTGGCACTGTAGGATAATGCACTGGACCACAAAGTCAGTTTCAGCCAGCAATTATAAAGAGAAACAAAAACCCAGGAAAGGGAAGAGTTGGTTGTATATAAGGAGATGCTCTAAGAAAGACAATCCTAACATGAAAATGGAATAATTGGATCATAATAGTAGAAAAAATGAAAGGCTGCATGTTGAGGCAGAATCAAGATGTGACCTATTATGAAATACATTCCACATGGCTGGTTGGTCAAGCTTGACGAACATTATAGAGAACTGTGGGGAAATGGAGATGCAGAGTTGAACCAGTACGTGCCTGACCTCCAAACACAAAACTGCCAAGGACTTTTAGAGCCAGTTGACAACATGTATAGCGATGAAGTAATAAGGGATCATTAAAATCAACAAAAAGGAAGCCTTGACCAGAAGCCTTTACAAGAATGACTATTTATCCTTTGTGACTGTAGAAACAAATATACAACACACAGGGGTTGTGGCAGCTCATGGGGAAAGTCCCCCAATTGGAAAATAAGAATAAAAAATTTAGAAAGAAAGGGAAAATCCTGAGTTTCTTAAAATATTTACAAAAAAAAAAAAAAAAAATTTTTTTTTTTCTTTCCTATGGAGGAAATTGCTTCTCAGGACAGAAATGTTTCTTTTCTTTTTGAAAAAGTATTGCTGTCATATCTCTTTAGGAAAGAAAATTTTTGTTCATATTAAAAATTCTGTGGCACCTCCTTATCTGACGGACGCTAAAAACAGGAGCGATTTCAACCTTCTGGAATGAGCTGTAGCAGTACTTTTTTTTAGGCAACGTCACACATGCAAAACCGCCCGCTCCCTCTTTCAGACTGGGCACCCCTTCCCTGGTACCCCCCTAGTGTCCTTCGCTGCTTCCCACCCTCTTCCACTGACCCCTTTTTCTCAGAGCCCAGTTCCAATGTAACTTCCCACATCAAATCAAACGCTGGTCTCTGGGGAAGGTAGCTTTCTCTCCAGGTGTTGGAAAGGCAATAGGTTTCATTCACCCCTTGTGGCCTATTTGCATTTAAAAATAGAACCCTGGTTAACCCTCTGAAAATGGAACTCCATTTATATATAGTTGATATAACAAAATGCAAAGAAGTAAAGGCGGAGAGCGGGATTATTTTTTGGTCTGCTTGGGGAGGGGTTGGATGGGCCACCTTCCTGGAAGCTATGCAATCCCAAATGAGGAAGAGGGTGGGGGTGAATGGACTCTCTGACCTCTCAAGGTTGCTGGCAATTCTATGGATTGGTGATTTCCAGCTACATTTCCCCGCGTCCGGCTTCCTTTGCAGCACTTAAGGCACTGTTTGACTCGGCTAACTAGTGGTTTTCAGCAGCGTGTCTTTGTGCCTATCAGCCAGGGCCCAATTTTCCCATCACAGGCCTCTCTGTGGAACAGCAACCTTCCTGCTCAGCAATGGTGGTTGCTGAGTACCAGCGCAGTCACGCTTAGAACAAAGAGATTTTCACAGAGTGTATTCAAAGTTTTTGTTCTTAGAAAAGCTTAAGAAAGGGACTATTTGGTGCTCACAGTGTGTGGGCTTTCTGAAGAAAACAAATATGTGGTAGCTCACTGGCAGCTGGAGTATGCCATATATAGATTTGGAGGGAAAAGCTGCCACATGAAATTTACTCTAGGAGTAAACTCATGTTGGATTAACACACATTCAAGAGTCCCTACTAGGTGCCAGACTCTGAGTTAGACCTGGTGAGTAAAACGAAAAGGAAACAAACTCCCCTGCTTTGAAGGAATCCAGTCTAATGGAGAAGATAAACATCGAGTGCAAGAAGCCCCCTGTTTGAGGTAAGCCAGGGTATGTGGTAGCAAGGGGGACCTGCCCTTGGCTCAATCTGCTGCTGACACGGATCTGAGACAGTTCTCCCAGGGAGATGACTTCTGAGCTGAGTAGGAGGAAGCCAAATCAAAGAAAGGTGAGAAAGGCGGTCTGTGTAGAAGGAATAATGTGAGCAGAGACAAGAAACAAGTTGACATGGGTGGGGATCTCTGAGCAGGCTGAGATTTTTGTAGAGGAAAGTGGCAGGGCAGGGCAGTGGCAGAGAGTGACAAGAGAGGAGGCTGAAGGGGCAGGCAGGGAGCCCCCTTGTTCTGGGCTAAGGTCTTTATCCTTAGGAGAGTCACTGAAGGATTCTAAACGGGGAGTGATAGGGTCAGATTTGCATCTTGATTAAACTGTCCATTTGAGGGAAATCATTCAAATTTTCCCTGGTATGAATCGATTAAATAGTTCTGTTTAACAGGTAGATTTGAGAATCAAGCTATAAGCCAAGTTTAGTCTTTTCCATAGAGGATTTGTCATTAGTGTTAGGCTCTTTTAAGGGTGCCCCTAAAACAATTTATAGATCGATAGGTGAATCTATTTGGAAAACTCAAACGGCATTTAAAAGCTTTTCTAAACAGTGTTTAAAGGAGCTGTACTAACCAAGAGTCTTGTTGGCTTCTACCCATTATTCCACACTGCAGTAACAGTAGCAGGGCAGGACCACAAACTGTGCTATGATCTCTTTGTTTTGTTTAGCAAAAGTCATCTGGAAAGGCGCTATTTAACCTGAGTTGCAGCCATTTAAATCTTGCAGAAAAGGAATATTTTGGATTAGAATTCTTCAGCCATTCTGGAAATAATGTAAGTAAGTTTTATGACTTTGTGTCTAGAATTGCTTCTAAATAGGGTCTATGGCCAGGTATGTAGGGCTCAAACAGCTGCTTGAAGAAGGAAAACTCATTTACACCCTTGCAAATGATTGTATTGAATAAGAACTTACCGTCCCCCCTTTATTCAAAATCACACAAGTTTGCCAAACAAATTCTGCTGCCCAATGCTCCTGTTTGGTTGCTCTGTGAACCAATCACTATCTATGACCTATTTAAGTGTGACTTTCCCAATGCTGAACCTCAACCGCCAAAGAATATTCAGGGGAATCTCATTTTCTCTCTTAAAACTACAGATCCCAATGATTAATCTGTGCACCTTTCTGGAAAGGCTTTTAAACTGGCATTTGGAGGCTGTAGGATTCAACTGTGGAGCCAAATGCCTTCATTAGTCTTTGTATGTGAGACTTGTATGTGACACTTAATGAGACTTGTATGTGACACCTCTGTCATCCTACAGGGGCAGGGGAGCAGTGATTCAAATGTCAACAACAAAGTGTTTATAGATCAACAGTATTCACTGTCATTGGGGAAATACAAGGGGCAGACTGCATGTGGTGAAGATATGTTATCTGTTTGACATTGCTGTTTTGAACTAGCTTGAAGTCTAAAGGGTTCTGTTATCTGTTTATTTTGTGTTGACCATGTTTTGGTTAGTGAAACAAACAAGGATGCTGCATGCAACACCATGTACTAGTAATTTTGCATTCATTTTGATTACAGGTTTGGTTAGAACTTCTAAAGCCCATCACAAAACAAGTAAAAAGTAAGTATGGAAAATCATTTAAGGAATGTAGTTCCCAGTTACAACTTGAAAATATTTCAACAATACCTCATGATTCCTCACCTTAATACAACTGGAGAGAAAGGTTTTGATGTATTATTTCAAACCTTCATAAATTCAGGACATTTTGTGACTTAAAAAAAGTCATTTTAATGCATCCTTGGTATCACTTGCTGCCTGGATTTGTTTTATTTTATTCTATCACAGGTCTTGTCCATTTAGCTCAGCTCATAGTAGAACACCTACTATTTACAAAATATTGCCCTCCAGCATATTGCAACCTAATGTTATTGTTGTTAAGTGTCCTCGAGTTGGTTCCAACTCATAGAGACCCTGTATAGGGTTTCCAAGGTGGGTTTGAAGTGCCAACCTTGTGGTTAGCAGTCCAGTGCTTATCCTACAGCACCACATCAGGACTCCACAACCTAGTGTAGTGGTTCTCAAACTTTATTGTGTATTAGTTGCTCCTGGATTTATCATTAAAATGAAAATTCTTGAGCCTCAAAACCAAACTAGTTGCCAAGGAACTCTGCTCCATAGGGGTTGCATGGCCATCGTCTTTCAGAAGTACATCACCAGGCCTTTTTGTAAAACTCCTCTGGGAAGACTCTAACCTCCAACCTTGTGATTAGCTGCCCAGCATTCAGCCATTTGTACCACCCAGGGACCTTCAGTAGGGAACTAGCAATCTGCATTTTAAATACATTCTACAAGTGTTTCTGATGCAGGTGGATTGAAATCCACAAGTAGAGAAACACTGTTTGAGTGTCTCTTTTGCTGTGCTCTTTCCCTCACCTGCTCTTGACATATTGGTGTTTCTCGAAGTTCTGTCTGTTCCCACCGCATGCTTATCATCTGTCATATCATTAGTCCAACAGATTCCTAACTGATCCTTTTGTAACAACCCATCTTACTCCCACATGGATCTATTGAAATTTTGCGAACATTGCTCTCCTGCTTAAAAAGCTTCCATGGTTCCTTGTTGTCCTTAAGTAAAATCCAAATTCATTAGCATGATATACAAAGCCCTGGGTTTTTACTACATTTCTTATTTTTCTTTTTTCCCCCTAATCTTTTTATTGTGAATTGAGTGAAGGTTTATAGGGCAGACCATAAGTTTTACATTCAACAAATCCTACACCTTGTTTCATCCCAATGATTGCAATCCCCTCCATGTAACATCACTTATCCCACTGCCTCCCTATGCTTCTTGCTTCCATTCCTCCTTCTTGCCCAGCCCTTCTGAATTTCGTCCCTGGAGAAGTGCTGCTCTTTGATCTCGAATGTTTGTCCATTCTATGGTGTGCATACCTCACTAGTGTTGCTGTCTCCCCACGCTCCCCCACATACTTACCAATTGCTTGCCTTAAAGTTGAGCCGCAGGGGTGAATTCATTTCCAGAGCTAACAGAGGATCAAGGGCCATAGTCTTAGTGTTCCACCAGTTTCTATCTGATCAGTAAACCTGGTCATTTTTATGATTTTGAGATCTGTTCCACATTTACTCCTACTCTATCCAGGACCTTTTAATGTGACCCCTTTCAGGGTAATTGGTTGTGGTAACTGGGCACCATCTAGTTCTTCTGGTCTCAGGGTCCTGGAGACTGATGTTCAACGGTCCTAACTGTTGCCAAGAATCTTCAATTTCTGCTGCTCTTCTTTTCTCTGGACAGGGAGAGACTAATAGTTGTATCTTAGCTCACTCACAAGCTTTTAAGATCTCAGTCTCTACTCAACAAAGTAGGATGTAGAATATTGTCTTTTTTTAACAGAACCATATTTATGCTAACTGACCATGGTTCTGGCTACTTTTCTATCCTTACCTCTACCACTGGCCACTTTGTCTTCCTGTGTCTCTTGACCATGACAAAACTAATTTTACATGTAAGATTGTAAAATAAAATATGAGACACTTAATTACACTTGAATGTCAGATAAACAGAGTCATTGTTTAGTATTAGTACACCCCATGCAATTCCTGTTTATCAGATATTCTAATTTAACTGTTGAACCATCCCATAGGGTTTCTGATTCTGTCATTTTTACAGGAGACCTCTGATCTTTTGGTTAGTGAGTAATCACTGTGCCACTAGGACTCTCTAATTTAACTCGGGGTCCTGTGTTTTTATGTGTGAAATCTGGCAACCTTCCCTCTAGGAAGTCTTCCTTGAGCTTCTCCTATTTTTTTTTCCCCTTTGTACTTTCATAGTATTGTTTTTAGCTTTAACCCTGTGGTTGTGTAATTGTCTGTGTAGCAGTCTGTCTCTTCTACCAGAGTGTGAACTCTTGTGTTTTTACTCCCAGTGCCTGCTCCGTACAGTGCTTAGCACATAACAGACACCCAACATATATTTGTCGAACAAATTATGCTGATTATACATGCATGCATGTGTTTCCTTTTGATGCCAAAAAGGTCTTTATTTTCAAATACAAATAGATGTGAAAGTAAGTAATATAGAGTTTATGAAACATGGAAGGAGTGGTTATGAATCGGGCTGCTAGCCTCAAGGTCAGCAGTTCAAAACTACCAGCTGTTCTGCGGGAGAAAGATGAGGATTTCTGCTCCCATAAAGATTTACAGCCTCGGAAACTGACTTCATGGCACATCACCACCACCACCGATACATCCTATTTCTGGTTCTTTTTATGAGAAGATCCTTGTTGTTGTTGTTAAGTGCCATCAAGTCGGTTCCAACTCATAGCTAACCTGTATAAGGTTTCCAAGGCCGCAAATCTTTGCAAGAACAGAAAGTCTCATCTTTCTTCCACGGAGTGGCTGGTGGGTTAGAACTCCTGACCTTGTGGTTTGCAGTCCAGAGCTTATTATACAGAGCCACCACGCTCTCCTTATGAGAGCCTTAGGACAGGTGATAACCACCTAACCTAGCTAGAGCTGGGTCCTTCTCTCAGCAAAGGATGCTGAATCTCATGTAGCAAGTGGTACATTTTTCTAAAAGAGACACTTCTTAGAAGAGGACATAGTAGGCCCTCAAAGGGGCACATCTTTACAAAAACAAACTCAAAAAAAGAGAGGGAGAACATTGCCACTTGTTATCCACATCAAGACACAATCCAGAAATAGCAACCTGTGAAACTTTGAAATTTAAAAGCAAAGTCTGTGGGAGGGAACCAAGGGGAGGAGAAAAAGGGGGAATGTGTGTGCATGCGTGGATGTACAGATCTGTAAGTACTGTGATGGACATTGAAATAAAACTTATGGAGATATTGTGTTTTAAGATCCTAAGGAGGTTGTTTTCAAATTTATGGTGAAATTTTTCCCAGTGGACCCTGGACATCTGCGGGAAGAGCTAACAAGGTAGTGTACTTGCTTACCTGTGTGTCTTCTGCATGATGTCACTGAAGAGTGATTGTTCTCCCTTCAGCAGGGAAGGGCTTAGAAGTCTCTTTTGAAGTTTGGTGCTTAGGTCACACTCTGGGAGAGGGTGAGGAGCTAGAAAGAGGGAGGCCCTGGCTGGTCTCCAGGGTACTAATCTTCCGAAGGGTGGGGATGGCAGAGAAGAGGAAGGGCAGTGTCTGGAAGTGGTAGTTCGTGAGAGTGGAATAAGAGATAATCTAGCCCAACTCTCTTGGTTTCCAGGTGAAGAAACAAGTCACAGGAGCTAAAGTGACTTAGCTAAGATTACTGGAAATTGGCCGTTAACTCTCCCTGAAATCTTAACCCCCAACGTTTTACCTTCTCCCTTTTTTGTACAGGGAGAAATTTCTGAGGGCCCTTTGCAGAAACCACTTTTCATAAACCTTCATTTACTTTCTCTACTTTTCCCTCTCTCTCTCCCTCCATTTGTGAATTGTAGGCCACTTTCCCAAATAACTTGATATCTTGGTATCTATATCAGTTTGCATTTGCTAATCCATCTCAGTTGGATTTCAATTGTAACCAATTTTGATGGAGATAAACTTCCTCAAAAAAAAAAAAAAAAAGCAAAAAATCAATGTGATGATAAATGATTCATCAGCTGTTCAGAGCAAGGATTTGGTATTTCTAGCAGGCAGCTGCCTTCTTAAACAGCAAGGAACGTGTCAAATGACAAGAAGTTTCCTTTAGGTCCTGCTAGGAGCAAAAGGAAATCCACCTTCCCTTTAACCATTCAGTCTGATAATTCTCATCCACATGTATATTTGAAAATTGACAAAGCTTACGCTTTCTCCCCCACCACCCCCGATCCACTTAAAACTATATTATCTGTAGTTGACTTTTACAGAGATGTGATGTAATACATGAGAGTGATGTACAAACACAAGTTTTCTAATTGAATCATTTCTAATGCATTAAGGAGCTCACAATTTGAAGTATTATAATGATGAATGCTTTTGTATATTGAATAATCACTTACTAATTTACCTGCTTTTTATAATCTGGATTTTCATTTATCACCTGCAATTAATTTTGATTCACTGCATTGCCTTCAAGGTGTAATGGTAAAAAAAAAAAAAAAAGAAAAAAGAAAAAAACAAAAAAAAAAAAAAAAAAAAAAAAAAAAAAATCAGGTTAGAACTTTTTTTAGAAAAAAAGTCACATCTTCTATAGGACAGTGCACAGAGTAGATGCTTAATAAATGTTTTAATGTGTAAAATAAAATATTTGAGCCAATTTTGGATCATGGAAGAAACGCAGTCAGTGAGAGTCTCGTTATACACCGATTTTCAAAAGTAAATTCTCCTTTGATAAGGGTTTCAAACTGTGGGGGAAATGCTATCTGGCAAAGCCCTGAATACCAAATCCAATCCTCTGCCATGGAGTCTATTCTGACTCCTAGAGACCCTAAAGGACAGAATCGAATTGCCTCAGGGTTTCCATGGCTGTAATCTTTACAGAAGATTACATCCATCGTCCTCCCGAGAAATGACTGGTGGTTTGAAACACCGACCATTTGATTAGCAGCCAATCATTTTAACCATTGCGCCACTAGAGTTTAATTTTCTGGATAGAAACAATCATTTTATTGGTCCCCAATGAGCTTTCTCCTTGAAAACCCTATACAGGGTTGCTATGGGTCAGAATCGACTCAACGGCACTTAACAACAACAACAACAACAATGAGCTTTTGGTAGGAAAGGATTGAGTTCTCCCCAGGAAACAGTGATTATATATCTAATCTGTGTAAAGTACTATGTTGGACTCTGGTCATATAGAGAGGATGGTCCAGACAAAAGGAAAAACGTAGCCTCAAGTCCTTGGTTTCTAAAACAATCTTTTGGGGAAGGGCAGCCTGGATTCAGCAGCAGACTTGAGTTCCAGCCAAAATGTAAGTATCTTTGGGTAATGTTGTTGTTAAGTGCCACTGAGTCAGTTCCAGCTCCTAGCGACCCAGTGTAGGGTTTCTGAGGAGTGGTTGGTGGATTTGAAATTGCTGACCTTTCGGTTAAAATCACCTAATCTCTCTGTCCATAATTGTCAAACGGGATACTCATTCCTGTCCTACCAACCTCACAAGCTGTTCTGCCAATGAGTATTTGATCATGTTCTGTGAACAGTGAAGTACTGGGCTCTGGGGCAGATTTCTTCTTGCTAATTCTTCTTTTCTCTCTAGTTGGGTATGTGGCTTTGCTATGTGGCCAAGTCCCTCATGTTGGTGGGTGGATTTGGCCAGGATGTTTCCTAATGGATGTCAAGCCTGCCAAAGTGCTGGATCAGTCAAGTTGTGGTCTGGGGTTGGCTTGGGGCTGAAGCAAATCCTGTGTTCACCAGCCCCTAAAAGGCATCTAAGTGACTGGAACCGCCCTTTCTTTCTTTAATCAGCTTGAAACTGGGAGAAGGGAAATGCTTCTTCCTTGTTCCTGTTTCTTTCTCAAGAAGTTTTCCCCAATTGCTTTGCAGGTATCTTTTCACTCTTCAGATAAAGAAGGATTTGGCTCTAGGAAGGCTTCCATGCAGTGACAACTGTACAGCTTTGATGGTGTCTCACATCTTACAATGTAAGTAGCAAATGTCTGCTTCTGGACTGTCAGCCAGGTAGAGAACCAAGGAAACAAGCTAAGCATCCCCACCATGCCCATCCCTGTGTTAGGACTTAAGGGGACACAAAACTGGAATAAGATATGTTGTTGTTTTTGTTGTTGTTAAGTGCCATCGAGCTGGTTCCAACACATAGCAACCCTGTGTAGGTTTTCTGAGACGTGGTTGGAGGGTTTGAACGTTGCAGCACCACACCAGGTCTTCAATATAGGGACACAGAATGGTCCAGCAAGCTAAACTGGCCATTGCAGTCACTGAGATTTGAGTTTGAATTTTCTCTCTAGTACCTTCCTTTGCATTCATTTCTCTCCTGTCTCTGAGCCTGAGTTTCCTTACCTTTATAATAGTGACAAGAATACTTTCTCACAGAATGGTTGTGTAAATTAAAAGTAAATGTTGATTTTCTGGTACTTCTGTCCAACCTTCCCCTCTCATGACTCTGGGTTTGCTGTCTAGGGGCTGGTTTAGACTAATCCAGGCATTGACTCTGCCAGGCAGCATCCCACACCCGCTGCTAGCCCCAGGATACATTTCTGATGCATGTCCTCTGCAGCACACTGTCATGTTGCATGTGATTTCTGTGTTGCTCTTTATCATGATTCTAGAGAACAAAGCACAGAGTCCAGTAGGTGGAAAGAGGCTAAAATGGAAAAAGGCCCCAGGCGTCTATTATAGGTCCCCATGCCCTAGCAGCCAAGCTGACTATCAGAGGAGGCAGGGAGAAGGAGGCCTGGGGAAGAGTGGGGACCTGCCAGGGAGAGGGTGACGGTGGTCAGACCAAGCAGCAGACAGGTGAGGCTGTTCCTACAAGGCTGAAACAGCTGGAGATAGTATTTCTTTAAGCAGCTGGATTTTCTCTCTCGCCTAGAGAGGCCTCCCAAGGACACGTTGTTTCTTACTAGTCCTATTTTTGACCCTTGCCCCTTACTTTCCCTACAGTCCAGAAATAGGTAGATTTCTGATTTCACTGGAAAGTTCAGGAATGAAGTGTTGAGATCAGGATAGGAGCCTCCTGATTGAGGCAGATGCTGAGACTCTCAGGATCTCAGGAAGGTAGTGTGGAGTGGTGGTGGCTCTTGTGCTGGGCCTTGAAGGGACACATAGGAATTTGGTCTGTAGTGGTAGGCAGAGGAAACAGCATGAAGGAAAAATGGTGTAGTGGGATAACAAGAAGCATAAGTGACACGGTATAGCTCACATATTGTTGTTAGGTGCCATCGAGTCGGCACCTACCCATAGCGACCTTATGCACAGCAGAACGAAACACTGCCCGATCTTAGGCCAACCTCACTACTGTTGCCACGCTTGAGTCCATTGATGCTGCCACTTGGCCAGTCCATCTAGTTGGGGGTCTTCCTCTTTTTCTCTGACCTTACCAAACATGATATCCTTCTCCAGCAACTGGTCCCTCCTGACAATGTGTCTGAAATATCTTGGCCTCCAAGGAGCACTCTGGCTGCACTTCCTCCAAAATGGCTTCACTGTCCAGATTTTGCATGCATATGAGGTTATTGAAAATACCATGGCTTGGGTCAGGCGCACCTTAGTCCTCAAGCTGACATAAGGCAAATCTGCTGCACAAGACCTTTTTAAAGTGTTGAAGAGCAAAGATGTCAGCTCGCGTATAGGGTCTGTTTAAGAGAGATGGTGAAAATGAAGCATCATTTTGAAGAACCATAAATTGCAAGGACACTAATCCTATGCTAGGTATTGTGCTTGACACAGGCAAAATAGAGATAGCAGGGGTAGAAAGCACTCTACCGCAAGGTCGGTTTGAACCATAAGATTGGTAGTTCAGACCCACCACCTGCTCCTCGGAAACCCTATACAGGGTCACTAAGAGTCAGAAATGAGTCGATGGCACTAATAACAATAAAACATGAGCTGCTAACTGCAAGATCAGTAGTTCAAATCCCCCAGTCACTACTAGGGAGACAGAAGAAGCTTTCTGCTCCTATGAAGAATGTTAGCCTCAGAAACGTTGCATAGGGTTGTTATGAATTGATGGCAGTGGGTTTATGAGTTACTAACAGCCTGTTGACTCTTTGTGTGGCACTGTAGAATAAGCACTCCTCGGGAACCCAATACAGAGTCTCTATGGGTCAGAACCGACTAGACAGCACTTAACAACACAACAGCTTGCTGCACCAGGCAGGCAGGATAATAGAATTCTCCCTTCACACCCCACCAGCCCACCCTCAACTCTCCAACAGCCTCTAAGGGAAGAACCCACCTCATTCTTAACTAGTCAGCATTAGCGATGTGAGCATTCTTCAGTGGCTATTTCAGGCACAGCACAAAAGCACTTTAGCTTTCTTAGAGCATATTTTGCTTGTTTGTCAATAGAAGATTTTTCCATAGACATTCCATTCTGAGGTAGAAAACGAAGACAGTGTTGATGTGAATAATTTGGTTTGAATGATGGTTCAGGATAATTACCCAAAGGAATTAGTTCTTCACAGGTAATTCCTATCGGACTCCATTCCACTGGATTATAAAGTAATGTGTAGAATATAACCAGATTCCTCATTCATTAGTTCATTTATTCATTCATCCAATCATATTTGTTGGAGACCTGCTATGGCCTAGGCATTCAAGGACCTCCATATTCGAACCTTCTCATCTGCTTAAGTCTCTCTTACACATCCCTCTGTTCTAGTCATTTCTGTGGTGTTGATTCCAACTCACACATCTGTTGGTAGATTGAAACTACTGACCTTCCAGTTAGTAGCTGAGTGCTTAGACATTGCACCACCAGGTCTCCTTTTAAAATCAATATACAAAGAGTAATTAATTGTATTTGTGTAAACTAAATTAAGCCTGTTGTTGTCAAGTCAGTTCTGACTTACAGCAACAATATGAGACAGAGTTGAACTGCCCCATAGGATTTCTGATACTGTAACTCTTTATGGAAGCAGACTGTCATATCTTTCCCCTGAGGAGTGTCTAGTGGATTGGAACCACCAAACTTTCAATTAACAAACTGAGTGCTTAACAACTGTGCTACAAGTGCTCGTTTCTAGTCAAATACTCCCTCACTGACACAATTTGTACATTTCAAACAAACTCTTCTCTGAGCTCTCTTGGTAATTCATTCAACCAAAAATAATTGAGCATCCATCATGGGCCAAATAGTATGCTGGTGGTGGTGATAGTGTTCCGTGGAGTCGGTTCCAGTTCATAGCGACCCTGTACAGGGTTTCCAAGGCTGTAAATCTTTACAGGAGCAGAAAGCCTCATCTTTCTCCCACAGAATGGCTGGTAGTTTCAAACTGCTGACTGTGAGATTAGCATCCCGACTCTCAAACACTATGCTACCAGAGCTCCTTAAATACTATGCTAGGCCCTGGCAGTGGAGTCCTGATGTGGCGCTGTGGGTAATGTGCCAGACTGCAAAGCCATTTGAATTGCAAGGTTGGTGGTTCGATCTTACCAGCTGCTCCTCAGAACCCTATACAGGGTTGCTATGGATAGGAACTGACTCAACGACACTTAACAACAACAGGCCCTGGCAATACAACAGTGAGCAAAACAGATTTAAAAGAACTCACATATTGGCAGTGGAAGGCCAATTATAATGTATATTGTTGTTTGTTGTCATTGAGTCTGTTCCAACATATGGCAACCTTGTCTAGGGTTTCGAGGAGCGACAGATGGGTTTGAGCCACTGACCTTGTGGTTCACACCCACCTTACAGTTCAGTGTATTATCCTGCAGCGCCACAAGGTGATAATCTCTTTGAAAAAAAAATAAAACATGCAAAGAAAATGAGAAAACTTGGGAATGGGAACTGAAGTTTTAAATAACATAGTCAAGGTAGGCTTCTCTATGAAGGTGACAAGATTTGAAGGAGGTGAGACAGCAGTCCATGCAGAAATCCAGTGGAAGACGGTTCATCCAGTGCAAAGGCTCTGAGGTGGGAGCATGCCTGGGGTGCTTGAGAAACTTCAAGAAGGCTTTTGTGATTAGCTGGAACTGAGTGAGAGTGGGAAAAAATAATGGAGGACTTGAAAGTCATATTAAAGACCTGGAACTTTACTGTAAATGGGATGGAAAGTAGCTGGAATGATGTAAGCAGATAAGTGAAGCGTTCTGAATTAGGTCTTAACAGGATCACCTTGGCTGCTAGATCTTAGGAGGCAATGGTGGAAGTGAGGCAGGTGGCTGTTGCAGGAGAGATTATAATAGTTTGGACCAGGTTGTAGATACTTGTGACCTACCCACTGTCACTGAGTTGATTCCAAATCATAGAGACTCTATGTAGGGTTTCTGGGGCTGTAAATTTGTATAGGAGTATAAAGCTTTTAGAGCGGCTGGAGGGTTTGAACTGCTGATCTTGTGGTTAGCAACCCGACACATAACAGATAGTAGTGAAGATGCCCGAAATATTTGCTACCTTATCTTAGTGGGGATACTTACCCATGTGTATATCTTTACCTTCCTAGATTGTCCCCTTCTTACATGTAGAGGAAAACAAACACAGTCCACAGTTCTTATATTTTCCTTATGGGGCATGTGATAGAGAGACCGAGAGAGAGAGATTGAAGCAGAAAACAGCTCTGTTAAGCTATAATTTACATACCATACAATTCACCCATTTTAAATGTACAGCACAATGATTTTTAGTACATTTATGGTTATGCAACCATTACCACAATCCAAGGAGCTCTGCTAACGTAATGGTTATGAGTCAGGCTGTTAACTTCAAGTTCAGCTAATTCAAAACTACCAGCAATTCTACGGGAGAAAGATGAGGCTTTCTGCTCCCGTAAAGATTTGCAACCTTAGAAACCCTGTACAGGATCGCTATGAGTCGGAACCAACTCCATGGCACACCACCACCGCTACCACAATCCAGTTTTAGGACAATTTCATCACTTCCAAAAAAAGCTCCATGATGTCCATTTATAGCCAATTCTGATTTCCACGTTCAATTCTAGACCACCACTAATAATTTTTT